TTTTCACACAATTATAATTAAACTGTGGAAGTCATTGCCACAGGATGTTATGGAAGCCCAGAGTGTAAAGGGAGTTCAGAAAGGGATTATACAACTTAATGGAAGAGAGTCCCATCAGAAGTTATTAAACATGGCATTCTGACTGTAACCGCTGGCTTGGGAAGTCCTTAAACTGCTGGTCGCCGAAGCTAGGAGGAGGCTATTAAGGGAACGATCCTTTATACTTTGTCTTTGCTAAGCATCTGCTCTTGGTCCATGTCAGAGACAGGATACTGGGCAAGATGAATCTTTGCTGTGACCTAGTTTGGCTGTTTGATGTTTTATTCTTAGATTCCTCTTGCTAATTTAATACAAAATGAACTTTTTGCGTGTTTAGTCATGTAATGTACACGCTTTCCCCTTTTCACTCTTTCATCTGCCACTCTTCCGAAAAAGTGTACTGTTTCTGATACTTTTTGCTGTGCTCACTGCAAGTCACTCTTTTGTTTCCTGTTTTTTTAAAGGCATACGAACACCACTACTAATTTGAAATGCACAAACGTATACAATTTTCTTACTGTAAACTATCACTTGAACCTCTCTTACTAGTTCAGGACTGTGTTTGGCATTAAATTTATTAGTTATTTTGGAAATATTCTGTAAATCTGCATCTTTTGCCAGTGTACTTGAAGGTTGTTTTCCTTTTCTGGATGAGTTTCTTATATTGCACTCTTCTGTAATGAGGTTACATTTATATCAATAAATATTTTTTTTTGATGATTGCTTATTTGATCTTATTTATAGCAATATTAATGTTGCACAAATTGGGAAGAAAACATGTTCAACCAGTCATTCCCATATTTTAAAAGTCTGACAGAAAAAATAACATGATAAACACATGCTAGTTTGGATTATATGCCTTTTAAAATGTTAGGAATTCACCATGAGAAGTGAAATCCGAAAAGGAAAAGCTAGTCTTAACAAAATTTGTCTTTGTTCTAAAATTAGTTTCCAGGAAACAGACAACGCATGGCATGGCGGGTGCCTGGCTCTGGCTGAATTAGGCAGAAGAGGCTTGTTACTCCCTTCCCGAATTTCAGATGGTGAGTTGTTGTTGCTGAATGTTAGTAAGTTTATGAATTAACATTTTATAATATTGGAGATTTAATATGTGGCAACAGACTGGAATTTGCTGATGTGAATGGGCTGAATAATGACTGTAGTATTGAATTCTAAAGTAAAAAATATGCCTATGGGGATATTTCAGGTACTTCTGTCAAAAGCATTGTCTTGGGTGTGCCTTTTTTTGTACTTAATAAATTTTGCTTTCCAAAATGACATTAGTTTCTTGGGGTCTTCTTTTTTCCTCCGCCTTCCCCTGTTTCTTTGTGCAGCTGTATAAAATAGTTCTGTATGTTGCTATATTGTGCCAGTGTCATTATTTACATAGACTATATTAAATAATTGATGACTAACTTTCACTTTAAACCTGGTAGTTTATGCTATTTGTTTCTGATTAAATTTTAGAGGCTAGTTTGACGTAATGCATGCAGCGAACTGTAAGTTTTTTGTAAGTTTTGGAAGTATCAGGATAGAAAGAAATTAATAGTAGGGCAGAAGGGCTTATTTCTTTGTGTGTTCGATATGTATGAACCTATGTTGAGGTATGGAGGTACTAATGTGAAAGCAGTAGTTCTCTCTCGTGATTTTGGTCAACTTACTACAGAACTGAAATGACAGAAGCAGAATGTAATAGTACACATCCACTACTGGGTGCTTTCAAGGCCGAGTCTTGGGCTATGTGGTTCTTTTGATATCATCTGCTATTCCTGTGTTCTGGTATGAGTTGAGAGACTGAACCCGCATTTTCAGAGGTAGTGATTTATATTAATAAGTTAGATTGCTGAATCTTTACTGTTTTGAAGATCTGTTGACTTGTTCCAGAAGAACTGTAAAATACAATATCTGATACAGTTTATTAGTCAGTTTCCAGGAAAAGGTCCAAATAGTATCTGTTTTGAATGTGAGAGTTTTTGTGCAGATAGCTTTCTGTTGATTTCCCTTTTCTAATTACTTTTGCCTCTCTATTGTGAAGAAGAGAGAGTTGAAAAACTTTAAGAGCAGGAAATCATTCAAAGGTCAGCCTTCATTTTAGTTTTAGCAGAACTGAAACAGTAGACCTCTATCAAGGAAACAGGATAGCCTAATGTAGTACGTTCAACAGGACAAAATTCTAAAGGGCTCATGCAAGTTTGGAACTTTATAGGACTGGAAAAAGAGATGTGATTGAATCCTAGCTCTGCCGGTGATTTGGTCTGTGCTTTGAAGCCATATCTCTTCACTTCTTAGGCTTAGTATTTGCATGTGTAGAATGGGGTCTGTAGTTGTGTCCCTTACCTCCTCTTTCTGCAGAGGTACTGCAAAAATGTATTGCTGCCTGTGAAAGTGATTTTAGTGTATATATAGGTTTATGTGTGCATTTTTAATTTGTCAAATTGCTTAAGGATTAGCCTTCTATTACTATGGTACAGGAATATAAAGATGAGATAGGGGAGGGAAGGAGGAAACAGTCACGGCAGCAAAGTGTTTCTGGGAGAGAAAGAGGCATAACGGTGTGAGGAAAAATGAGTTTGGGGGAATTGGAAGTTTCTTAATAAAACAGTGCGAAGGATTCAAACTGTCCTCATGTAAGAGGATGGATAAGCAACCTAATCAGAGACTATCTTGCCTAAACTGCCACTCCTTCAGTGACTTGAGACTTGAGAATGAATTGTACAGAAGGTAGAAATTAATTAGATTATGAAGGATGAATAAAAGAGAATAGCCTATATTTATAGAGATAAAATTGGAAAGACTTGGGCGTTGAATGGGATGCAGCTCGTGAAGATTATAACTGATAATAAGAAAATATGTTGGACCTACATCTCAGTCAAATCTTCATTACTGGTCAGCAGATCTGATCTGCAGAATAACCGTAGCACACTTAAAATAGCGCCTTCTCCTTTTTTTCCCCCCTTTTGCTTAATGGACTTTATTTTCCATTAAAATTCATTTGGAAAAATAAGTATACTAAATACAGTATATTCTGGCTTAATTTACGAGTCTGCGTTATTCAGTCTTGCTTTATGTAAGTTAGCCAATCCGCTGTTGTTGCAGAAATTGAACGTTGATTATAATAATTTGGAGAAAGACAAAAGAAGGAGTTCTGATACTTGGAAGAGAAGCTAACACAGTGATGTTAAGATGGACTCTGTTGTACAGAGCAGGCTTATGTTCAGATTGTCCTTACAAAACGATCTAAGAAATTAGGACAATGCTAAATACTATTCCTAGCTAGGAACAAGTGACTAAACAATTCAAGATGTGGGGAGTGACTGCCTAGGCAGCAGTTACATAGGCAAGGATTTAAGAGGTCATGTGGGTCACCCACATCAATCAATCAATTTCGTTTATCTCGGTAGGACATGATGATGAAAAAGAAGTCATAAACAGAGTGTGGTAATCCTTCCATCTTACAGGATACTGAAATTATGACTCATGGTACTCAGTTTTAGACAACAGACTGAAAGAACTAAGGTTTTGTGGTTGAAAGAAGACAAAGCTGACAGTGTGTTCTCCTCCCTTAAAGGAAAACTTCTCCTTATGACAATTGTTTCCTGTTATCAGAACAGGACTGGGTAGTGGGTAAAAGATGCCGCAAGAGAGTAGTTCGAAAAGTGTTACATGACAGAATTGCTTATTCTAAGGAAGGTGAAGCTCTGGAATAATTTGTTTGTGGACATCGAGTTAGGTGCCTGTCAGGAATGACAGAAATGGAGCTAATCGTAGGTATGAATAGTGGCTTGAATAGTTGACTTTTAAGCTTTAGAGCTGATTGGTACATCGTTCCAAATTCTACTTGTAAACTGAAAATTTAGCTAACAATTTCTTTGCTATTTTCTTCTTCAAAGTATGCATGGCAAATAGGGTAGTGAATATATTTGTGTCCATTAATAACTTTCCATATATTTTAAGTACAGGTCACAGATTTATTTGAAAAATTGCAAGTTTATATACACAGTTGTAGAAGCAGAAAATAGTTTTAGAACATATATAGAAGTACACTGAAACCGATAATTAGTGATACATGCTTAGTAAAATGAAACCTTCACCAGGAGAGTTTTCCTCAGCTGAAATAAATTATGATATAAATATCCTTTTAGGCTTGGAGGTTCAAGATTGCCCAGGGTCTAACTTCAGAAGATGAGGCACCTAAATCATTTAGATCTTGAAATTTTCAATATTGTTTTCATAGTGGTTCAGGTAAAGGTAAACATGAACTGGCTTTTTTTAAAATCTGTGCAGATCGATACAGCTAGTTCCACTTCAGTTTGGGAGGCTTGCTTTGTTTTAAATTGAATCTTGTTCTTAGCCAACATAAGAAAAACTTGCTTTTACGAGGTTTGGTTCGGTTTGTTTAGACTGGTGTCTGCCTCTAAGTAGCAAAATGTGGTCTGTTTTGCGTTATGGCATAGTGGTGAAGTGCATTCCTACGGAAAACAGTTTTTAGAGTAAATTCTAAAGAGCTAAGTTTAATTTTAAGCTTATTTAAACTACTGCACAGTGAAATAAAAATAGTTTTTCAAGGAAAAAAAAACTATTAAATGAAATTAAGCCTGAAAAATACTATGACAATATGTTATTGAACAACATTGTTTCTAGAGCTTAAACGTCTTGTAAGAAAAGAACGTGTAAAAGTTATTTTACAATAATACAGTTGCAAAAAAACCTTAAAGATTCATCTCATATACTGTGATTTTAGTAATGAATGCAAAAATTCACTCATCAAAATCTGAGCTTATACAAGGGAAAGTTCAATTACTTAAAAATATTAATATAAAATTATGAACATTTTCTATTTACATCGTAGCGGTTGAATATATCTTCTCTTGGACCAAACCTGATAGGAGATGGAATGTCGAAATTTTCTGATGTAGTTGGTAACTAACTTTGTAACTGGAAACTCATTGGAAAGTGGACTATTATGACACTCTTGTTCTCTTCCTTAAAGTGAAGACTCTGCTACAGTCATTTGGCCTTACTCTTTTAGTGCCTTGCTGTGATTTTGTTGATTCTTTTTGATTTGTCCTTTTTTGTCCTTTCACTTTTTGATTGCTTTGAGTATCCTGAGCTTCGGAAGAATTACGAGTAGCTTCTGTACATGAAGTATTACAGTCCTGAGGACTCTGCCCTTCGTTGTCCATTCTGGCTTTGCTAGGGCTGTATGCGGCCAGCTGGCAGAGAGCTACCGCTGCTGTTTGCTTCTGTTCATCACAACTGTCAATAATTCTCAAGTCTTGGGCTTCATTACGGTGAGCTGTGAAGGAACATTTGTCACCGGCACTGTTAATAGGGTTCTTGGGGTTACATGCGTCTGCCATGGAATTTTCATTTTCGGGTTTTGGAGAAGTAGCAGCACCGTTTTCATGAGCTGGACTGTGGAATGCAGTTTTCAGGCTTCCAGTGTTACAGGAGTCTTTTACTGAGAGATTCAGAGGCATGTCTTGCAGTTCTAGAAAATTTTGGCTTTCTGCTTTGGAAGTGCTTTTGTATGCATGTTCATGAGCAGGTCCTGTGTTTGTGTCGGGCTTCTTTGAAAGATTGAGGGGCGCTATCCCTGTGTCGTCTTCGGTGTTGGACAGTGAACCCTCATTGTTATGGCATTCGTTCGGTACATATGAATCTTCATCGGTGACATTAATGCTGAAAGGAATGGGTAGAAGAGAGAATTTACTAGCAAGTACTCTTATAAATCGGGGCTGAGGAAGTAGACAGAAGAAAATAAAAATTCCTGCTAGAAGTCTGATAATGTTGTTTCTCCCTCTCTCCCCCAAGTCCCTTTCACCATGCATATCACTCTAATACAGGTATTTTCCTGAAATGTGTGGATACTTGCATAGTAATGATGTTGGAGATACCTGACACTTAAGCAGAATGAGTGGTCCACTATAGTGATTGGGTTGTACTGTATTTTGCACAGATATATCCTATAGAATAACTTTCCTCAGTGCTGTAAATTTAAATATTTTAGAGCTGTTATGCGAAATGTATATATGTTAGCTTTATATTATCTCAGCAAATCTGACAAGAATTTATGGAGTAATTTTATTATTATTTTACCTGGTAGGTGAATCTCCTCCATCTTGCTGGGTCTGCGTGCTTTGAAGTAGAGGTGGTTGATCGGTGCTTTTTCTGACAGGTCTGAAAGCTGTGAAGTTTTCTTCTGGTTGATCATACTTGCCAAGCGATGTGGCAGATGACTTGTTAGAGAGGTCAAATAAACCTTCGCAAGTGTGGCTTGTCTGAGTGAAGTTGGTTGGGCTAGGTCTACCAGGGGAGCCTGTTGCCGCGCTTCCTGCAAGAGGGCTCATTTTAGCGTTCTCTCTTTCATTTTGGTCATCTTTGGAATGACTTTTGGCATGCAACAATGTCATTTCCTTTTCGTAATCTGTTTGTTTTTTATGTGAGCTTAGAGGGTATTGTTGGGATGGACTTAAAGAAGCCGGATACAGCAAGGTAGTTTCTTCCATTAGATGAGAATTTTGATCTCTGTTGATACCAGCTACGTGTGAAAATCTGTAAAATGGAGGATCTGTTGGTCTACAAAATCCATATGGTATTGGAGGAGTGGAGTGATATTGTTGGAACAATCGATAGTGTTCATATGCTGATGGGTTTATCGGTTTTGGAAGTGGCCCAGCGTGGGGAATAAAGTGTCTTTGCTCTTGTGTGCCATAGACAGACAGAGCAGAGCTTTCACACTCTGAATTACCTGGAAGTAAGTAAGGTGCATAGATAGCCAGCCTGTGTTCATAAAAATGGGGTGAGTACTCTGGAATCATTGGTTGCATATAAGGTGAAATAGAGCCGAAACCTTTTGTAGGAGCAACTTTGTGTGGAAACTCTGGGAGAAAAGGAGAACCTGCTTTCCATGGGTGATTTGGTGCATGAAATGCAGATTTAGCGTGAAAAGGTGAACTTTTGTTAGAGAGGGATATAATTTCAGATACTTCATTCGCTTCTGGGCCTTTACTATCTCTGTGTTCTCCTACAGGAATAAAAGCTGAGGGCCTTACAATGCTGTCCAAAAGGGGCTGCATGCTGATGGCACTTTCTGTTGTAGAACTGGCAGGAGTTAATTCCTTCTGAATTGCAGGTTTTTGTCCTTGAATTGACGTGTTTGTTGCCTGGTTTTGTAATTCAACATTTTCCTTGGCGTCTTCCTTCGCAAAAGGGTATTGAGGCTTTGAATCGAGATTTGATAGTCCATTTGTGATAGATTTAGAAGACGTCGGTTTAACTGTAGATTCTAGCTGATTTATCTGTTTGGGCTCCAAGGAATTGGTCTTTGGACACTTGATAATGCGATCCTGCTCTGATACTAAAGTAATTGAGTTTTTGCAGAGACCATACTTCATATGGTTAAAAAGATGGGATTTCTCGTTGCAAGTAAAGGGACACTGAAAGCACTTATATTTAAATGGCTTTCCTGGCGGTCTTGGGATGTAATGAGGTTTCTTTGGCTTACGTTCTTTGAGGAGACTCATTTTTTTCCTGCTTTAAATGATTAAATATAATGATTCTTTATAAAAACTTTCTTGCGGTTAGCTTTCCTCAGTTTTAACCTCTTGAAATTTCCAGTTTTTCAGGTTTCTAGAATCCTTTTTCCCAGGTGAAAAGAGGACGCCAACTCCCGTGGTGTCTCAGGGGAGTAGGGGATGCCGGAAAACAACACTTTTGCAACTGGCAGCACAGGAACTGTAACGAAAAGGTTAAAATTAGCTGTAGTGAACACTGGAACTAAATAAAAACCAGTGCAGTCTTTCAGCTGTATTCTCCCTCTTGTTATATATGGAGAAATTTTTTTTCTTTTTTCTTTTCTTTTCTTTTTTTTTTTTTTAAGAAAAGAAACATTTGAGATAGACGTGCATTTAATTTCCTCCTCTTTCAGCACCTAAATATATTCAGAGAAGTGGCCTAATACTCAGCAGTGCCAATCACCTGCAAATACGATGGGCTTAAAGGAGTTTTCTTTGAAAACTGAGGGAACGTTCATTCAGAAGAAGAAAGTAGGAATCTAGGTGGAGCTGTTGAGAAGAGAAGTGGAGGTGGGTAAAAGGAGAGGAGGCAGGTCCTGGCAGCAGCTGCATATGGGGCAAGCCTGTCCAGCCGGTTGGGGAAAGAGAGGAGGGAATTTCCTGCTTGGTGAAATGAGGGTGGAGTGGATTGGTTGCACGAGCGTAGCTGACTTGGCTCTTTCAGAGACTGACCAACCCCTTCTTTTTACCTGGCATGGCATTTCCTAACAACCTAATCTCAATGGGTACCTCAAAAGTGGCCAGTCTCTCAAAGGATAAAACCACACGAATTTTCTTCCTCTTCCTAATTCAATTAAGAGAAATGAGTCCTGCAATATCTGACTAATACAATCTTCTGCTTGATAAACATGTTCAGCATTCTTCTGCTGTGCAGCACCTTGCATACTGCATGTAGTTAGCACATACACACAAGTGTATTAATTCAGGTAAAAAGTGTCTGACAGCGATTGATTTATAGGGAAATGATCTATCTGCCTTTCTTCAGAAAAACTGAGGTTGTGGATACTTTATACAGCCTAATGATTTGCTCAGTAGATAAGTCAGGAGGGCTTGTATCAGCTTGTTCCATTATGTTCGCTGATTCTGAAGGCGTGAGAAACTCTCAGAGTCAAGTTCTCATGATTTTATAGGATGTGTTATGGCAGAGATCTAAAAACTGATGATTTCATCATGAACTATAAGCATCATTATCAAAATGATGACTGTTGCAAAACCACGTACTGTATCTATTGTGTTACCCGAAACTACTGGAATACTAATTGTAAGAGTAACTAGTATAGCTTGATTTTTTTTTTTTCTTTAAACGCTTTTTACATAGAAGTTTGAATTAGGAGTATTAAAATATTAAGTTTATGAGAAGAATTGCTGGTAATTACATGCTGGGAGAATTTAAAGTAGGAGATGTTTTGCATTTCTTAAATCAGAGATTTTTATTTAATAGAAAATAACACGCAACACATGAAAGCTGAAGGCAAAGCTACAGAATTGCTGCTTGTTTTATCAGGTATAGTAATTCTAGCAAAATATATTATGTATTGTTTCTGATGTCATAGAAGTATGAATTTTGTTAAAATAGTTGTGAAAACATCCTGAAAAGTGCAAAGCTCCTCTATGAATAGAAAAAACAATCAGGCTTTTTCTTAAAATTAATGAATGATTAAATACACGACAGCCTAAACAACTAGAAGCATTGTGTAGAGGAGTAGTTTTGCATTTCTCAGCTTTTAGCAGAGTTGTTTGTTTGTTTGTTTGTTTTATTTGAGTTGGACACTGAAAATGTATCCGTGAAATATAATAATTATTTAAAATATACAGCAGCATGTTAAAATCTTGTCATTGGAGTCTGGTTAAAAGAATGGTTCAGTAAATAAAAAATATTAAAAAATGATTACCAGAATTCCTGTGAAAAAGTAAGAATAATAGTTTTACATTAAAAAAAAAAAAAAAAAAGAGGAAGACTATTTGAGGCGTAGGAGGGGAGTTCCAGATAGGTAGCTGGTCCTTGTTTTTGCCTTAAGTAAGTTTGCTGCATTTATTTTTGACTAATGATGTATAGCTAACATGGACAGTTTGTAATGGACTTGACCAAGTCAGTTTGTACCTGTTGTTCTTTGTATCTCCTTGGAAGTACTTGTACTAATTATTCTTGAAAAAAGACATTGTTGTCAAAACTCCACTGCGTTCTTAGTTTAGCCATTTACGATAACAGTCTGAATTTGCATTCAGGGGCAGCACTTTATAATAAGGAGATGTTAATTAGATTTTCTTGTTCTGCTAGCTTTCCTTTGCTTAATAATGCAAATTCCTGTGTGTCCTGCTTCCCCCCCCCACCACTTTGTACTTGGGATTTCACTTTGATTCAAGTTATTCCTGTTTCTCAGTAAAGTAAAATGCATTGTTGCCATTTTAATGTTAGAAACCTAGAGCATTGGCAGCGTCTTTGCTATGTGTATGACAGGAGAGACCTATAAGAGCGTGGGTTTTTTTTTCCTTGTTTTTCATTTGTTTTGGTGGCGGGCTCAGCCTAGAGACAGTGGTGCTCCCGAAAGCTGCCGTTCCTGCTTGAGAGAAGGCGACCGAGCAGCTTGTTTCGGAGGGAGTTTGCCCCGCAGTAATCGCAGGCCAGGGTCAGCCAGCCACATGTTCTGTTTCTCTCTTTTATTAGCTAATCCCTTTTTTCTTATGGCTTAAAAATGCCGACAGAAAAATATTTCTAAACCCAGCCAAGAAGGATAATTTCCCTTCCCATCTCTAAGTAAAGTATCTGGCAGAGATACGTTATTTCATAATTAAAAAAACTGTTTGACTGCACGTACAGCATAAACATTAATGGTTTAAAATAAGTGCCACCTCTTAAAGCTGTCTGTATAGAAAAGTCAGTTACCTGTAGTTGTACAATGTGTGTTTCGTGCTAAAGAAATTAAAATTTAATATTACAAAGGAAAAGTCAAAATGAGTATTGCTTTTACCTTAAACTGGAATACAATAACCTGTGATACCCTTTTAAAAAGGGGAAAAAAAAATCTGTAGCAGGACCATAATTTTCAGGTAATTTTTTTTTTTTTGAAGTTGAAAATTATTTCCTGGGTTCCTGATTTTAGCAGTTCAGGTAGTTATACATTATCCTAAATTTGTCTTGCTAGTTTTGAAATGTACTAGTTTGTTTGTTTATATTTTTGCTGAAAGCAGCTTGTTCAGATAGTACTGGTTAAAGGTGAGGTGCTCTTCGTCGTGTGTGCGTCCCTGGTCGGTAGCGTTGGAGCTTTCTCGACTCCAGCCCGTTCCAGCTCCAGAGTCAGAGAGCTCCAAGTTTTCTTCATTCCGTTTTTAAAATTACACGTTGTTGCTAGCTCCTTGCTTTTATAACATGTTAAGTCCGGGAAATAAGAATATTGACTCATGTTGTGTCTGTGTGTATATATATATATATATACATTTCTGTTTGTGTGTGTGTGTATATA